TGTTTGGATATTTTTTGGGAGGGAAACAGTGTTCTTACAACCTCTTCATTCATTAATATCTTTATTAATGTTCCTGCAGCCTCTTTATTCATTAATATCTCCATCAAGTCTTGATTTCATTAATATCTTCCATTCTTCCACCGCAGGGTTTGGGTATCAGGGGCTGCATCTGAAGGGCTGAAGGTGACATTTCAGGGCTCTGTAGCCCCAATATCAAAGCGATTAATTGATATTTCCATCCCCGTCGCTGCAGGCACAGTCGCCATCTGTGCTCAGCGCTTCTCCTCGTCTCATTTAAGGGAGGAATTAACAGATTTCGAGTGAAGTTCTCAAAAAAACCCAACCTGTCTGATCCGCAAAAATTCAATTATTTCCAACAGCGCGTTGGGAAGTGCAAATTTATTCCGAAGGGAACGTTTTCTTAATGGTGTTTTTCAGCATAAATATAGCACCAGCCTAAACACCTCCAGTAAACAAATATCAATTACCTTAAACGTTTCCTGCCTGTGGAAAAGCTTTCATTGTGAGGGAGACACTCCCTAAAAATCTTGGTTTGTTCTTCAGTTCCGTGGGCTCCTCGGCTGCATTTGGATTAAAATGCATTTTTATCTGAAGACCGAGAATTTTTTAAGATTGGAAAAAAAACCTCTGAGATCATTGAGTGGATTGAAAGAGATCTTGTAGCTCTTCTCTGCCTCTGGGCCCTTTTTAAAATACTGATTCCTCCAGCAGGCTGGTTGTTAAATCTCTCAAACTGATCCACTCAGGTCAGATAATACATTGGATTTCTAGTTTTAAAATAAACTTTGCTAATTCAGGGCTGTTGCCAGCATTCCTTGCAAGGATCACTAACCAAGGTGCTCTGAAACATCCTCTGATTAACAAATAAACTGTCAGTCCCTCCACCACCACCAGTGCTTAAGGCTGGCAATTTAATACTCAGAAACCACATTTTCTTATTGGAGATTAAATATTTTTGCAAGTTAAAAGAGCTGCCGTGGGCTGAGTTGTCACCTAATTATGTCAGTCTCTTTGTGGGGTGTTTTGATAAGCACATCAGAGCAGAGACTTTAATCTTTGGGCTAAATCTGATCACGTCACGTCCCAAATTCACACCCACCAGGAGTGAGACCCGGATTTTTTTGTGTTTCACCCAGAGCAGGGTGGGCTGGGCTGGGGCTGAGGGGCCTCAGGTTTGGTTTTGGGGGGGGGTTGAGCCCCCCTGGAGCACCAGGAGCACGAGGGACATGGTTTGAAGTGGGTGCTGTTATCACCACTGCTCATATTCCTGATTTACAGAGCCCTTGTCCTTTCTGCTCTGGGAATATCTTCTGCAGGTCCTGCTGTGATCCTTTATTTTCCTCAAAAGGCAGAAATTCAAATGGCAGAGATTCATTCTGATGTTGAATTTGGGCTTGAAATGGCGTTTTTCTTCTCCAACCTGTTTTTTGTGGCTAAATGTTACATGTTGGAGGATGTTTGTCCCACTGCTGCCTGCTCTCTTAGTGGTAAAACTGGAATTAAACCCCCCCAAAAAAGCTTTTGTTGGGGATAAGGAATTCAGTAGATAAAAACTACCACAGCCACATGCTGAGGAGGGAAGAGTCTGTTTGGAACCGCAGTAAATGTGTCAATAAACACAAATCAAATGCAAATTAAATAAAAGCTTTTCATACACTCCATTCTCCTCGAGATCAGACAAAAATAAATACCACATAAACAAACGGGGTTTATGAAAGTCTCCAAAAATAAAACCACTCTTCTTGCAACAAGGCCAAAAAATGAGATTGCCTCTGTGTCTTTCCACCTGCTGGGAGCTCTTGTTTCTCTCTGTGTCACAACAGAGCTCAAAGATTTTGGTTCAAATCAAAACCAGCGGTGGCAGGTGCTGTAAAGGGGCTGGGGAAGAGCCTCATCCTACAAGACAGGGCATGGAAAATGCCAGAGCTGAGAGCAGATCCCAAATCCTCTTCCCAGCCCTGCCAATAAGTTTCCTCTTACATAACAGAGTTCTTACCCCAAGGAATTTTTTTTTTTTTTTGCTTTTAAGCCAATCTGCAAAGGAAGGTAGGCCAGGTTTTTTTTTTTTTTTTTCCTTTCCTTTTTTTTCCCCAAAAAAATCAGCTGGGAAGTGCTGGAATGACTCGGAGCTTTCTCTCAGGCTTCACCCCTCCTTCAAAGGCTGTAAAGGAAATTTCCTCCTCCCCTCCCCAGGGCTGAGCACTGGCTCAAGCCTCTCACACAGGTACCAGACCAAAATCCCCGAGCCCAGGAAGCCTCATTTCCTCTGGGAAATCCAGGGATCATCCCAGGATAAGCTCATTGATTTGACTCAAAAGCATTAATATTAAAGCCTCCAACACAGTGTTGGGCTGCAGGGGCGATAATTAATAAATGATAAAGTGAAACACAGGCTGGGGCTCTTGGCTGCTTTGTCTCCCACAACGTTTCATCCAAGCACTCAAGATGTTTCCTTGGAAAACACGTGTGTGTTGTGGGTGCCATGGACGTGTTTTCCCTGGGATGGAGCTGGGAAGGCCACGGAGCTGCCAGGAACGATCCCAAAGGGACGAGCAGGTGGCAGATTTTGAACCTGGGATCCCGTCAAATCCCACAAAAAAAAAAAAGGTTCCACCACGCAGCTGGAAAATGGCTCTTCCCAAGCCCACTCCAGCCTCTCCCAATTCTAGCAGCTCGGCGGCTGGATGTGGTTTCCATGGAAATAGACGTCAGATCAGCAAAAAACAGGGACAGTGTTTAAAATAATCTCTGTTTTGAAAGCTTCCTGCCTTTCTGTCACAATATTAACCTTCCTCAAGGTAGGATTCCTCTCTTTTTGGTGCAAAATCCTTGGGTTTAAGAGGGTGCATGGCAAGGGGGGGGTCCTAGAAAAGTCCTTTTTATTTTTGGGGGGCTGAGGGTGTGGAGGCTGCTGGGCTGGGGCTGTAGAGGAGGATTTTGTTGTGTGTCCATCTGCCTTTTGTGTGGATTGAGTCTTGGCGTGGCCGGAGCGTGGAAACCACCACGGGAATTGCACGGGATTCATTTGTGTGGAACACGTGGAGAGAATTTGTTTGAAGCACGTTTGGGAGTGAGGAACTTCCCTGGGGGTGTCCTGGGGAGGGGAACACTCCCAGGGCGGATCCCCCGTGCCTATTCCGTGGAATCTGCACAAATGAGGATTTTTTTTTCTGGATGTGCTTGGGCTCGCTGGTGTCACCCCAAAGGAGAGGAGAGGAGAGGGTGGCCTGGCCCCCAAAACACTGCGGGGCCACTGACCCTCCTGTGACCCTGAGATGACCAAAGGGACTCGGTGGTCATCTTGATGGTGACCAAGAGCCCTGAAGGTCTCCTGGCCCTCAGGTGGCCATGCCCTAACATAGGTGGCCATGTCTCTGAGGTGACCATGGATCTGAAGTGACCGTGGCCATGAGATGACCATGGTTTTGAGGTGACCATGGATCTGAGATGACCATGGATCTGAGGTTACCACAGATCCAAGGTTACCATGGCCATGAGGTGACCGTGACCATTAGGTGACCAAAGCTCTGGTCATCCCAGCCAGAGCTCCACTCCCACCATTCCCCCTGTCAGGCCGGACACCCCTGACGGCAGCACCGGCCCTGATGCCCCTGTGCCTCCCACCGCAGGGGTGGGACACAAAGGGAATCGAAGCATCTCGGGGGGCAGGAACGGGATCCCAGCGCGGGGCTCTGGGGGCCGGAGGGTCCCTGGGGACCGGGGGGCGTCGCGGTTCGGCCGCGCACCCCCGGCCCAGCCCGGGCCAAGCGCGGGGGCAGCCGCCCCCCGCCGGGGGCGAACTACAACTCCCGGCATGCCCCGCGCGGCCAGAGCTGGGGGGGTGTCGGTTGGGGGGGCGCGTTCGTGAGGGGGTGGGCGCGAGCCCCCCCCCGGCGGGCGGCACGTGCCGGCGGGCTCGGCCAATCGGGGCGGGGCGGGGCTGGTCACGTGCCTTTGTTTGGCGCTTTTGTGCGCGGCGGGGCGGGCGCGAGCGGAGTGTGGCCGGAGCGGCGGCGCGGGCAGGTGGGTGCGCGGCGGGGCTGGCGGTGACTGGGGGGCGCGAGTACGGGCGGGCCGCGGCCGCGGGCGCCCCTCATCCGTTACGCCCTCCGCGTTTCCAGAAGGCGGAAGAAGAAAGGGGAAAGTGTCGGTGCTTCTCGGGGGTCCGGCGCCCCGTTAATGCGGGTGGCGGAGGAGTCCCGAGGGTGGGTGTCAAGGTGAGGGGGGGCTGTGCAGCGCTTTGCGGGCGTTTGGGGCAGCGGTCGCTTTTGTCCCCGCTCGCGGGCATCGCGTCGCCGCCCGTTTTTTGGAGCGTCGCGGTGACAAAGGAAAGGGGGACAATGAGAGGGGGATTCCTCGTATGTGTCCCTGCTCCCCTCGTGCCCCGATCGCTGAGGGGAAGGGGGTGCCTATTGTCCCTCAGCGAGGGGCGACGCCCTATCCGCGGCAGCGGCGCCCCCTCCCCTCCCCGCCATTGTTAGTGGGGAAGGGGCGGTATCCGGGCGACCGCGCCCGGCGCCATCGAGCCGTGAGGGACCCTCTGGGAGTCCCCTGGCCCCGCGTCGCTCCCCATTGCTCCCCGTCCCCTTCGCCCCTGAGGGGCTGAGGCGGGTGGGGGGGGGCGGCCCCGCACCTGAGGCGGGGGGCGGCAGGTGCCCGGATGTTGGCGCTGGCCCCGCCCCCTCCCTCGAGCCCCCTCGCGCGGGCGCGCGCGCGCTCTCCCCGGCGGTTTGAATTCGGTGCGGTTGGAGGGGCGGGGGCGGGCCGGGGGCGGGGCCGGGGCTGCCGCCTCTGCCGGGATTGGCTGCGGCCGCGCGGGGGGCGGGGCCTGGGGCGGGGCGCGCGGTGCCCGCTCCGCTCCCCGGCCCCGCCCGGAGCCCGCAGCGGCGCCCCTCGAACCCCAGAAAAAAAAAAACCTTTTTTCTTTTTTTTTTTTTTTTCTCTGTAACGGTTTCTAGACTTTTTTTCTGGCGTTTTTTTACGACGCCTCGTTTTCACAAAGTGTCCTGGGCGATGTGCGTCCTCGCTGTCTGCCGCGGTGTGAAGCATCTGACTTGAGCTGCGCAATTAAAAGCGAATTTTAAATGAGCTCTATTGCGCACATTTCGGATCCGTCGGGAGTGGCAGGGATCCTGGCTGTGCTGTCCTGTGGTGCGTCATTTTTTTATTCGGCGAGCTCTTTTATGTGTGTGAGAGCAGTGAAATCCCCATAGCGCCATGCTAAAACGGGGGTCTTTGTTCGAGTACCTTAAGGTGGAATAAAACAGATTGGAGATGCTCTAATAGCACACCTGCAACGCCAGTATTTCCATAACCTCTCCAGTATTCCCAGCACTGCCCATCAGCTCCACAAAATGCCTGGAATCACTGACTGCAGTGACCTACCTTGCCTGCCTTTTGTTCAGCAGGTCTAATTCTGTTCAGCAGTTCTGATTAGAAGGAGCAGCATCCCCGTGCTGGCTGTTGAAAGACACATCTCTTTGTTATCTAGGAGCACACCTGACTGACCTTCTCCCACACTTGGCTTCTGGACTCTTATTTTCTTGGCCATGGCTACTTCTGGTAGGTAGAATTCTGTGCTAAATGCTCTTGTGTCTTTTTGTTGTTGTTGCCTCCTTATTTCCTTGGGAATAACTTAAAAACCGAATGTAGTGAAATGAGCTGCTGTCAGCAGGCTTTTCTCCCATCTTGGGTGAGGCTGGGTGGTTGTGAAAACACCCCAAAAGAGGAGTCTGGCAGCAGATGGGTTCAGCTCCCTGCAGCCATCTGCTCCCTTGGCTGTCACTGCCTCATCTCGGGGACCACGCGGGTGCAGCTGACACCGTGCAGGGCTGGGACAGAGCCCTGCCTGCGGATTTCTCTAAAAACCTTTTTTGTTTTTTAGTTCTTGCTTCTCTCAGGTTCCAGGCAAACATCTGGAAATTCATCCTCAGGTTTGTGACTGGAAGGAGAATGATTTTTGATTTGAACTAACGAACTTGTTTTCACAACTTGGGATGTCGAAAGCTAAATTAAAACATCAGGTGCTTGGGTGATGTGGGATTGAGGAAGGGTTGCAAAGGAAATGTCCACATTTTTGAGCAGTATTGCTGTGCTGAAAACAAAACTCCTGTCTCGGATGCCCTCCCTCGGGGAACTTCGTGGTGCTGAATTTTGGTCGCCTGTTTTTGATGTCGCCTGAGCCAGTTTCTCCATATAAAATACTGGTTTGTTTTGTGGCTTTTTTTTCCCCTCCGTTCCCAGACATCCAAGTGAAGGAGCTGGAGAAGCGAGCCTCTGGGCAGGCCTTTGAGCTGATCCTGAGCCCCCGCTCGAAAGAAGCCGTGCCAGAGTTCCCTCTGTCTCCCCCAAAGAAGAAGGATGTGTCGTTGGAAGAGATCCAGAAGAAGTTGGAAGCGGCAGAGGAGAGGCGCAAGGTGAGTCTGGAGCAGCTGAAGTGAGCTCTGCTCCACCAGTTTTGGGGGTTTGGGGCTGGTTTTTTTTATTTGTTTCTTGGGATAAGTGTGTTTTTTAATGCTAAATTGAATCTTAATGGAACTTACTAATGAAATCCCTGGGGCTCTAATAAAGCTTTATGGTCATGGTTTTAATTCCAAAGAGACTTTGAAGAGAAACTGGGAGGAAACATCGCTGAGAGGGGCAGCTCTTTCAGGAAGAAGCTGTTTTTCTTGTCTTTTAACACCAGAACAGATGAATTTTCTCCTGGAAAATGCAGCAGTGACTCTGTAATGAGAAGCTGGGGAATGAATTGTCTGAGTGATGAAAGATGTGGCTGGGGGTGCAGCCCTTGAGGGTGGCAAGGCTTTGATTGAAGTGAGCCTGACCTGAATCTCAGTGATTCACCACTCTGAGAAGGGGGGATCGTCAAGGGAAGTTCTGTCAGTGTTAGCATAAAAAAAAAAAAAAATCCACGTTCCCTCTCCAGAAAGGTGCCACTTAACAAAATCTGCCAGTAATGAGAGAAACTGAGCTTTGCAGGTATCCGTGGTGTGAGATGCAGGTTCTGTGGGTGGGAGGGAAGGCCCAGAGCTGTGTCCTGCAGAGCTGTTGGCAGCAGAAGGGCACAAAAGGCTCCGAGGAGCCGGGGCCGTGCCCTCACTGCCTGCCCCGTGTCCTGCCAGTCCCACGAGGCAGAAGTGCTGAAGCAGCTGGCAGAGAAGAGGGAGCACGAGAAGGAGGTGCTGCAGAAAGCCATCGAGGAGAACAACAACTTCAGCAAAATGGCAGAGGAGAAGCTGACCCACAAAATGGAAGCCAACAAAGAGAACCGTGAGGCACAAATGGCTGCCAAGCTGGAGCGCTTGCGGGAGAAGGTGGGTGTGGAGCCCTGGCACAGGGAGCTGGCCCCGCTTCCTGCTGGGAAAAGGAGCTAAACTCCCCCCCAAAAACCCCGTGCACACCAGGAGGGTGCCCCAAACAGGTGGGGAGGGCGGTGGTGGTGTGGTCCGGTTATGGAATCTGTAAAAGGCTTTGCAGAATTGCAGCTCTGTGAGAGGGATGGATGGATGGATGGAGCTGGAGCAGCCTCTCCCCTGAAGCTCCAGCCTGTGCCCCACACTGGTGTGGGAATCCTTTCCCTGGATCTCACAGCTCCCTGCTGCTGTTTTTCAGGACAAGCATGTGGAAGAGGTTCGAAAGAACAAAGAAGGGAAAGACCCTGGCGAGGCCGAGACCGACTGACTCCGTTCTGGAAACTGATTCTCCCCCTCCTCCAAATATCCAAAGACTGTACTGGCCAGTGGTTTTATCTTTGGTTTTGGTTCGGTTATATATATATTTTTTTTTTAAGTTTCTTAGAAACTGATGTAGAACTGTAAAATTAGATCCAAACTGTACACTTGCTTTGGGGGCTAGAGGGGAGATCTTCCATGTGTCACTTTTCTAAAGTGTTGTCTTTCCAGTGTAGCTTTTTCTTCTCGTTGCATCCTTTTCTACGCCAGTGCACTCGCTCCTGGGTTGATGGCAAGTACTGTATCAGCTCTGTAAGACCTTTGTGCAAGGAATCTGTAGTAACTGTTCCATGCTGAATATCTGTTACACTTCAAACAAAACTCTCTGACTGTCCAGTCTGCTAAAATACTGCTGTAACCGAGTGACTCAATAAAGCTGCACAGTGCTGTTATCCTGCTCTCCTTCCTCAGGAGCCGAGGACTGGGTGGATGGGAAGGGCTGGAGCAGCTCCCTGCTGCCCTGGGCACGGCCCCAGTGCCCCAGAGCCCGGCATTGTCGTGTGGCTGTGACAATCAGAGCTTTGTGTGACACCTCAGCAGTGTCAGCTGTGGGCTGTTTGTGTCCCAGGGCCCTGAGCCACCTCCCTGTGCTGCGGGGACATCCCAACAAACGGCCCTTGTTCCTCAGGGCTGGGGGAGCCTGCCTGCCACGGGCTCTGGGGACACCTGGGTGGCACAGGGGGGACAGCAGAGCCCTGCTGGGTGAGGGGAAAGGCTCTGGGGACAGGAATTGGTTTTGTCTTGGTGCTGGGGTAGAACAGCACCTGCCCACAGCCCGAGCTGTTTGTTCCTTCTGGGCTGGGGTGCTGAGGAAAGAGGATTTTTAGGTGGATTTGGAACAGAATCACTGTGTTGCACCCCAAACCCTTCCCCTGAGTGTACCCACAGGTGCTTGGGCTGCACTGGGGTGTGAACAGGCAGCAGCAACCAACCCAAAAAATCCTGCCAGAGCTCCTGGGGTGCCACAGCCTGTGGAGGTGGCACTGGTGGCACTGCTCTCAGTCCTTCCACTGTCCTTGATCCTGGCTTGGCTCCGAGGTTTAACTCCACACCCGGAGCACCTGAGGATGGGAAATCCATAGAGAATTGGTTTTTTAAGGGACTTACGGTGTCCTGGGCCACTGAACTGTCCTGTGGGCTGTGAGGGAGAAGGAGCCTCAGTTCGGGAAGCTTTTCCCGTGTCCCACCGGGCCCTGCCGAGCTGATCCTCGAGAGGAGCAGTGGGACACAGCCCTGGAATTCTGCAGCGGCTCCCTGCCCTCAGGGATTCCCAGGAACGTTGGGATACTGCGCAGCTCGAGGTACGAGAGAGTCTGTGCTGCTCCCTGCTGGGGACAGCGGGCGGCTCGGGGATTTGGGAGGCTCCTCTCGGCATTGCCCAACAGCGAGAAACCTGAGGGCCCGGGAATGGGGTCGGGCTCTGCCCAGCAGGGTGAGCGCAGGAAAATCTGAACTTTGAGACAAAGCTTGTGAGTGAGAGAGGTTGAACACCTGGCACGGTGTAATGGAGGCTGGAGGGAGCCCTGGAGCAACTCCCGAGTACAAAATGAGGCACAGTCAGCAATGAAAACTCCCAGATCTTCATTTTAATATAATTACCTGCTGAGGAAAGAGTGTCCTAAATGCCATGTGGAGTTTTTTCTCCTCTCTCCAAACGTGGGGGAGGAGAATGGCAGCTCTGCCAAACCCCAAATGGTGCTGGAGCACAAATCGATGCTAAATGCGAGGTTTGGGCTTGCCAGAGCTGTCAGAGCTCGGCGCGGAGCCTTCTGTTCCCTCCTCTTCCTTCTGCTCCACGTGTGTGCCGTGCCTGAGCCGGGGATTCAGGCTCTGGGGTCTCTGAGTGCTCCTGGGGGGGAATTTGAGGGGTGGGAGGAGGGAGAGGACAGCAGTGACCTGAGAGCGGGGTAAAGGATGGGAATGATCAGGACAGGAGAACAGAACTCAGGGGAAACAGGGCTGGAGACAGGTTCCCTAAGAATAACAAGAACCAGCTTTTTCTACCTGCGGAGGGAGGGAGGGATGTGGAGCCGTGTCGGGGCTGCGAGGTGAGGAGCAGCAGCTCCAAGGGGGCTCCGCGAGGGGAAGGGGCACCAAACCCCTGCTCATCCCACAGGGGAAACATCCCAGGGGAGGGAGGGAGGGAGGGAGAACCATCCTGGGCCGCCCAGAAAGTTCGGCAGGGCTGGAGCTGCTGCTCTGATCGGAGCTGGAGCAAACCCATGGTGCTTTGAAAATGAAAGCTGGCTGTGCTTTGGGAGACTTTAGGAGGCTTTGGGAGGCTCGGTGCCGCTGTGTGGCGAGAGCAAACAGGGATGTAAACAGCCGGGGGCGAGTCTTTATCATCACAGAAAAATTCAGCGGGAGGGGTGGATGCTGCTGGGCAAAGGAAACGCTGCGGAGGAAACGCCAGGCGGCTGAGGCAGCGGTGCCGACAGCTCGTGGGGAGGTGCAGCCTCTTGTTTGGAGCACCAGGCACATGGAGGATTTCCAGGATGCTCTCCCTTCGTAACGGAGCTTTGCTCAAGGCTCCATAGCTGGGAAGAGCTCGGCAAATTCAATCCTGCTCCGACAAGTTTTGGAGGAACTGAGGTAAATAAACACCGCTCCCTTTCCTGCTTCGTGCTTGGCTGCTCCCGCTGCTTCGGACACGGCATCTCCCCGAGCAGAGCCCGGAATTCCCGCAGGAATTTCTTTTCTGGAGCCGGAGCGAGGCCGGGAGCACCTGGAGGGCAGCGCAGCCCCGGCACTGAGCGAGGCAAGTTCAGCTCTCCGGGCAGTGTTTGCTTCCGAGCTGCCCGCGGAATTTAGGTCAGAACAGCTGAACTTGGGAGCTTCTGCTTTTGCCCTCTGTCCGTGGCAGCGCTCGGGGCTGTTTGGGAGCAGGAAAAGGTTCATGGGGGGAATTTTTCCCTGGCAGCCCGAGAAAGTCGAAGCTTTTTGGGGGGGTTTAAGGGGCCAGGGGAGGGGTGGGATCGCCCTTGGTGAGAATCTGTCCCAGCCGGGGGGGCTGTTTGGGATGTGGGGCCTCTCTAACCAGGCCAGGTGGGCAAAGGGCATTTGGGAGGAAATCAAGCAGCAAAGACTTGGTTGTTTTTGGTTTTTTTTCTGCATCTGTGCCCTTGGATTCAGGCAGGAATGAGTTACAGAATGACTTTGATGAGGAAATTACAGAGTTTTTTAAAACAAACAGTCCCATCCCCACCTCCCGCTGTTCCCAAACTTTGAAGAACTTTTCCTGTCTCTGAAATGAGGGCACTTGCCAGGGGTTGAGGGGACAGCACTGGACCTGGACTTGAATCAGGTTTTCTTCAGGACTTGTCTGAGCAAGAGCAGGTAAAGTGGGGGGAGACTCTCATTTTGGGCATGTTCTGTTCAGTAATTTTTTAAGAAAAGGCTGAACAAGCTGGCAGGGCTGCCTTTATCTGGGTAAGGACAGCAGCTTCCAAAACATAAATATGAAATTCCTGCTCACAAAGATTACACTGCTGGACCTCGGTGGTTCAACAGGATGAACTCAGGCCACACTGGGGGAAGCTGCTTGGAAAATCAGGAGCTGAAAAAAGGAGGAAAACTCCAAATGCAGGAGTTGCAGCCTCTGGTATTTGTTGGTATTTGTAAGAACAGATGCTGCAAACTGTTTACAGGAGGGGGAATCTGGAGTGGGAAGTTTGTTTAGGATGCTTGGTTTGTTTAGCAGTTCCCAAACCACAGGGAAGGGGTGAGCCAGGCACTGATGTGTCCTGGTGTGTTCATTATTGTCATTTAACCCCAGACTCGTGTCCTTGGGGCTCCCCACGCAGCAGAGGCACCTCAGGGGTTCTTAAATCTCCCTTCAGCCTCCTTTCCATCACTGTCCTTGGGGATTCTAGTGGGGGGAAACCCCAAGCCCAGCATTTGAACAGCTTGTTGACTTTTATGTTAAAATCCCTGTTAAACCTCACAGCAAAACTCTCCTTCCCACAGGTGACTTTACACAGCAAGGACCCGCAGTTTGGCCTCACCATGGCCACGGTGGTGACGGAGAAGCTCAGCCAGCTCTTCATCAACGTGAGGCAGCTCCCTGAGCTGCTGGGGCCGCTGTCCCCGGGCACGGTGAGCAGCGCCGAGGTGCCGCCGGTTTTTTGGAAGCCCTACATCCACGGCGGCTACCGGCCCGTGCGCCAGACGTGGCGCTATTACTTCTCCACGCTCTTCCAGCAGCACAACGAGGCCATCAACGTCTGGTCACACCTGGGGGCCGCCCTGGTGCTGCTGCTGCGCTTCCAGCAGCTCTGGCAGCGCGTGGACTTCGGGCAGGACGAGCACGCCCGGCCCCTGCTCATCATCCTGGCCGCCTCCATCACCTACCTGACCTTCAGCAGCCTCGCCCACCTGCTGCAGGCCAAGTCTGAGTTCTGGCACTACAGCTTCTTCTTCATGGACTATGTTGGGGTGGCCGTGTACCAGTATGGCAGCGCCCTGGGCCATTTCTACTACGCCATCGAGCCGAGCTGGCACGGGCACGTCCAGAGCTTCTTCCTGCCCCTGGCTGCAGCCCTGGCCTGGCTGTCCTGTGCTGGCTCCTGCTATGCCAAGTTCCACTTCCACCCCTGCTGCCCGCTGCTGGGCCGCCTGTGCCAGGAGCTGCCCTCGGGGCTGGCCTATCTGCTGGACATCAGCCCCGTGGTTCATCGCATCTGCACCTCGGCACGCCCCGACCCCGCCCTGCTCTACCACAAGTGCCAGGTGCTCTTCTTCCTCATCGGTGCCTTCTTCTTCTCCCATCCCTACCCCGAGAAGTGGTTCCCTGGGAAGTGTCACTTCTTTGGGCAGAGCCACCAGATCTTTCACGTGTTCCTGGTGCTCTGCACGCTGGCGCAGATCGAGGCCGTGGTGCTGGACTACGAGTCCAGGAGGGAGATCTACTCCTCCCTGCAGGGGGACCTGGCTCACGACTTCTCTGCCCTGTTCCTCGTCACTGTCACCTGCTCTGTCCTCACAGCTGCCTACATGGCCCGGAGGGTGAAGAACAAGCTGGGCCTCAAGGAAGAGTAAAGAAGAAATGAGCTCAGCCCAAATCCAGCCCCAAGCCCCCAGATGCTGCTTCTTGAACTGTTACTCAGCAAGTGCTTTCTCTAGGGAGTAAAAAAGATGCTTTTTATGCTTTTTTAATCCAGCCTAAGTTCCAGCTTGCTCATAGTTCACGGGTTCAGTTCACCTCTGAATAAACAGTTGGAACAAAGTGTTTTGTGTGCCCTGATGGGCTGGGGAAGGCTCTGGGAAGCTGCCAGGGCTCCCAGCATGAGATAAGGAGAGGCATCTGGCTTCTGTTAGACTCTAAACCATGGAAACAGACCAAGGTGAGGTTGTTTAAACCACTAACGTGACAAATTAATTTATTATCATTTCAGGCCCCTCTTATAGGGCTGAGGGAGCTGTTCAGAGCTGTTCCTGCAGGGGCAGGGCCCTTCCTTTACCCTGAGGAACAGGATGGGCACAGCCCTGGCACTGAAAGTGGGGGAAATGGAGGGGTTGATGCGATGGGGAGCCCCAGCACTGGGTCAGGGCCGGGAACAGCTGTGGCTGCCGCAGCTGCCGCCCCGATGCGGGTACAGGGACAAAGGCGAGGCCGCTCCGACCCCACAGCCCCAGTGCTGGTCCCGGTTTCGCTGCTCTGAGTGGGCCGCGGCGCCACCACCCGTTATATATGGCGGTGCCTGTGTGGGCGTGGCCTCATTCCCACATGTGACCCCACCCCTCAGCTCCCATTGGTTGGGCCCTGAGCGCGGCGCATGCGCAGTAAGCCTTGGGGGCGGGGCCGGCGTGAGCGGGAAACCGGGACCGGGGAACCGGGGACGGGACCGGGAACCGGAACCGGGAAAAACCGAGACCGGGAAACCGGGAACCGGAACCGGGGATCGGACCGGGACCGGGACCGGGAAAAACCGAGACCGGGGAACCGGAACCGGGAACGGGAACCGGGGGAGCCCCGGGATGAGGCGGCGGCGCGGTGGCAGCGCGGCCCCGGCCGAGGCCTGCGGGGTGTGGCTGGACACGGCCGAGCTGAAGCGGGGCCCGGCGCGGGTGAGGCCCGGGCGGAGCTGAGGGCGGGCCGGGGGTACCGGAGCGGGCCGGGGGTACCGGAGCCGGCCGGGGGTACCGGAGGGGCCGCGGCGGGGCCGACCCAGCCCCGGGGCACCCCCTGAGCCCCTTCTGGGGGGAGCTGAAGCGTTTGGCTCCGTTGAATCCCGCTATTCCCGGACTCATTTGGGGTCGCCCTCATGAGGGGAGACTGCGGGAGCGGGGCCTGGTCAGTGTGGAGAAGGGACGGCTGAGAGGGGATCCCATAAATCCATAAAATATCACCAAGGAGTGTCAGAGGATGGTGACAGGCTCTGTTCAGGGACAGGACAAAGAGCCACGGCCACAAAATAAACCACAAATTCCACCTCAGCATGAGGAAGAATTTCTTTCCATGAGGGTGGCACAGCCCTGGAACAGCTGGGGACTGTGGGGACATCCCAAACCCACCCGGAGCTGCTCCTGCCGGGCAGGGGTGGCACTGGAACATCTCCAGGGGTCCCTTACAATCCGAAATATTCTGGGATTTCCAGCCCCAGACGACTCTGATGCTGTATAATGAAAGCAGGAGCTGTGCCACAGCGCTGCTAGAGTTGGTTTGATATTTATTTTAATATTTTTCACTCGTTTCTTCCTGCAGCCCCTCAGTGCCAAGCTCAAAGCACCCACCCGAATTCCTGAGAGGAAGCACAGCCCAGGGCTGCTCCCACAGCCTGGCACCAGGCAAACCACCATCCCCACCTTCTTCAGCCCCCACACAGGTACTGAGGTTACAAACCCATCTCTCATCTCCTTTGCTGGGCGGAAAAGTTCATTTTTGGGTACAGAGGGTAAAGGTTTGAACTCCCAGGAATGAGGAGCTGGCTGGTATTTGGAACTTGGGTTTTATATTAAATTTATTGGGAACTTGGGATTTTACATTAAATGGTTTCAGAGGCAAATGTGGGACTTGATGGCTCTGTGAGGCCAGGGCAGTTTCCTGGGCAGTTCTGAGGGCATTTTTTGGGCACTTTGAGCAGCTGCAGGTGCAGCTCTCGTGTCTCACTGGATGTGAAGCAGCCCAGAGCTGTGCATGCTGCTCCAGGGGATCCCTGTGGGGTGGTGGCAGGGCTGGGCTGGTGGGGGACAGTCCCTAGGGACACCCAGGGGACAGCAGTGGTGCTGGGGGAGGTGATTAGCCCTGGGAAATGGGACTGCTTGCACCAATTCCCTGCTGTTTCCAGATGAAAGAGACAAAGAAAACTCGAGGCCAGCTCCCTGCACCCCAAATAAAGACTGTGAGGACTCTGGGGCTCCTCTGGCTGCCCGTCCTGTGAAGATCCTGGCCCTGCCACAGCTGGAGGGAGCCTGGGAAGAGCCCCCTGGAGCTGAGCAGGGCACATGGAAAACACCTCAGGATCCCCTGGAGCTCCAAGGGGAGTCTCAGAGCCAGAGCAAAGCCTCCCGTGGGGCTGGGGGGGATTCCTGGTGCTGCAGCTTCTGCCAGGGCTCCGAGCACAGTGGGACCATCACCCCCAGGAACAAATCCTGGTTCTTTCCTGGAGAAACGGCCTCGGGGAGCAGGAAACCACAGCCCTGGAGCACAGTGAGCTCTGGGCTGGGTTTTGCTGGGACTGAGAACATTAATCCTGGCCCAGGGGCCGCTCCCAGGGGAGTTTGTTCCTCTCCCCAGAGCCCGGTGAGAGCTCAGCCCCTCAGGGAGCGGGGCCAGCTCCCAGGGGCATCCTGCAGGCAGTTCTTGTGCCAGGACTCCCAGGGGAACAGGGACAGGGCCAGTGCCAGCCCCGGGGCCAGTGCCAGCCCCAGTGCCAGCCCCGGGGCCAGTGCCAGCCTGCAGCTGGAGCTGGGCTCTGAGCCCCTGTTCACACAGGACTCGGAAGGGAACAGGGTCATCAAACACTGGTGAGTGAGCCCAGCCTGGCTCTGTGTTTAGGATGTGAACCCATTGGTGCAGCCCCAGCCCCTCTCTGAGCCATTGCTTTAGTCCAAATAAAACGTTGGAGTTTTGTTTTTAAGGGTTTGGCTGTTTCAGGGTGACAGCTGTGTCCCTGTCCTGCCCAGGCTGCACATTCCCAGGGCAGGGATCTGCTGGAGCTCCATCTCCACAGGCACAACCAAAAATCCACCAAATCCTCCTGCAGAGGAGCCCTGTGGGGACAGGGACAATGATCACATCACCAGGCCCTCTGGGGCTGCATCCAGGAGGGGAGGAACTCTCCCTAAAACTGATAATTCTTCCATCTCCCTTCTGCACAAAAGTCTAATTTGGAAGGTGGGGATGCTGATTTAATTTTTCAAAGAAATCAAGGTGGATTAAGGAAGCCCCTGAATCTCTGGGATCCCACCCCGACCCCATCAATGACCCCACACACCATCAGTGTCTTATTAAGGCTCCATTTTATAGAAAGGAAAAAAATCCTATTTTCAATACAGCCATGAGGGGCAGTGCAGGGAACGTGGAGCTGGGGGAGAGCTCTGAGTGAGGGGGAACTGCAGCCACAGCCAAGGCCAAGCTCCTCCTTCCCTGCCTGGCTGGGGTGCTCGGCCCTTTGCATTGGTGCAAGGTCAATAAAGAGACCTTTGGGAGGTGAAATAAAACACAGGGACTGGTAATGGAACATTAAATTACTGGCGAGAAATTAAGGCCATTCTGTCATGCAACTGTGGGCTGATCTGTGAGAGAAGAAACACCCAGGGCACAGGGAATCCATTCTCAGACCCAAACCAGGGGGGTTTTGGGGGAAAAAAAAAACAAAAAACCTTTTCCAACATTCCCAAAGGCCTGGAGAGCTGGCAGCATTCCTGAGCTCGTTCTCAGCAGCTCTGTACCACACTCAGGATTCAGGACTGCTCACACTGGACAGGAACTGTTCTGTCCTCACAGCTCAATGCTGAACTGGAACCTAAGGGAAAGTGCAGGTACAACTTCATCCAGCAGCACTCCAGGAGATCCTCACCAACACCAAAACACAGCTGGAAAAGAGCTTCCATCTTCTTAAAAAGGTTCTCCTTAAATAGAACAACACATGGAAAACACATCAAATCCCAAAGGGTCTTTCCTATGGAAGTGTCTGTGCACAAACCACGTCTGGTTAATCCGAGAGGCAAAAGGCTCAACAATCCTTGGGACAAGGCAGCTACTGTGCAGGAGATATTGGGAGCATTTTTTTCTTTTGCTTGCAGAGCTGGGTGGCAGCAGCATCATTTCTCCTTCAGGGCCAGGTCCTCATCCTTCAGGGCGAATTTCCTCCTCAGCACCTCAGCGATGAGCACGGCCGGGTCCTCCTCCTTCATGGAAGGGCGGTTCCTGGGGGACAGAAACACTGAAATCAGCCCAGGCACAGCCCCAGTTCCTGAATTCCTGATTAACAGCCCTGGCTGGAGTCTCTCCAGTGTTTCCCTGCAGCTTTTATCACGAGATGCTGTCACAAGTGTAAAGAGGTGCAAGAAAAACTCCACAAAACAACAAAAAGAGGGAAAATTCTGCCTTTTCATGAACTCACCTGGAGCTGGTTTTGTGGCTCCAGGGGGATCCTGGAAATCTCCTCCTCAAAGCTCTGGCTAATTCTTAATCCACTGTGCTAATAACAAGCAATCAACCCCAAATTCCATTAATTATTCACAGCCTAGGTCCCCTCCACGTAAATCAACCCTCAGTGAAGGGTTTGGGGGGAAGTCCTGGAAGTGTCTGATTTTTCATTAACTTTTTATTTATAAAAATTAAATAAATTAAATATTTCATTTGCACTATGGATTTCTGCTTCCCCATTTCAACATGGGAGATTCCAGGCTTGTTAGAGCAGGGCTGGTGCAGATTTCCTTGCACCACACGAGTTCTCCTGTTCTCAGGGCAATCTGCCTCCTCCAACACGTTCACACAAGCAGCTCCTTTTACAAGATTATTTCCCAGGAGGCCAAACCTCAGCTCTTTTCCCCTCAGGTACCATGGTTTTGTTTATAACCTGCAATAACCTCAGAGCTTTTATTTTTTTCATAGCTGAAGCCCTCCCTCACTCAGAAAACATCACGGGAGTTTTAAACATTCCTAAAAGACAAAAACAAAACAAAGAAAATCCCCTGGAATATTTCCACCAAACACTGGAACAGGCTTTAGTTCACATTTGCTGAAACAGGAACATTTCTGCAAGTTCCTCACTCATTCCTGAAGCTTCCAAGGCTGAATTAAACACAAAGGCTGAATTAAACACCAAAGCTGAATTAAACACAAAGGCTGAGTTTAAACACTAAGGTTAAGTTTAAGCACCAAGTCCCACACAGCAGCAGCAGAGAAATCTCGATGTAATTCTCTTTTCAAGAATCTTTCAGCACTTTTTTTCCTCCACTTAAAGAGCACCTGAGCCTCTCCAGGCTGCCCAGTACAGGGGCTGCTCCACAACTGCACCACAATTAGGAACTGCAGCTCATCAAATAATGAGCATCAGTAATTAATTGAATTTTTCAGCTACCTGCAGCTCTTCAGACAGCTTTAATGAAGCTGTGCCGAGCCCAAGGCATCACTGCTGGTGCAGGAGAGGCTGAGGAGGGGAAATGTGGCTCAGCTGCAGCCTTTGTGTCACAGCATTCCCTGCAGGAGCATTCCCAGCTCTGCAAAACCAGCCAAGGCTGCAGGGGACGGGTCCTGGGCTCCTTGTGCCCACCCTGCACCCCAGGAAGGGAGATCTGGCAGCTCTCCTGAGGAAAACCAGAGCAGAGGGGTGAATTTGGGGAGGGATGGAGGTGTGACAGCCCTGATGCTCTGGGTGTGGAAGCTCAGAGTGTTCCTCTCCTCTGACTCCAATTTTTTCAGTGCTGAGGATCTGATTCCTCTCAAACCAAATTAGGAAGCAGCAATTGTGCACAGCCACCACCCAGTGTGGTATTTTTGGCCAGGAATCTCACACAACAGAAGGAAAAATGTGGAGACTGAGCTGCAGCACTGAGATCTGAGCTGTGAAAGGCAGGGGCACAGCGAGCACTGGAGCAGGAATTTGCTCAGCTGGGCAGGATCTGATCCATGGAACAGTTTCAGTTCTCATGATCAGAACTTGTCAAATCCTCATGAGACAAGTGCAAACTCAGCCTGCCCACGCCCAGAGCTGGGCCAGATGAAGATGCACAGAAGCTGAGAAGCTCCACGTGTTAAATCCCTGAATATTCCACGCTGGAAAAGCTGCTGAGCTTCCCAAGTGCCTGGGGATGTGAGCTGGGCTAAGAGCAGCACTTCCCTCCCCCTGAGAGCTGCCAACACACACAGGCCTGGTTTGCATCTGGGCAAACTCAGCTTTTTGTCAGGTGAACAAGCTGGAACTGCCAAACATTGGGATAAGCAGTTTAAATTCCCCTCCACTATTTCCTATCCAGGAAAAAAAAA